TTCCCAGTCAGCCACAGGCTGTGAGACATGAATCTGCAGAGTCTGTTCCTGTCCCTCAGGGTGTCGCAGCAGAACATACACCCAGAGACACTGGTGGCGGAGACACCCCTGTCACGACCAGAGCCGGGCGCACAGTGGTGCAGCCACAGCGATATAAGGACTGTGTGGTATCATGCAGATGAATGCTGATTTTTACATGCACCTGACACGTGAAAAGTGTACAAGCGCAAAAGTTATGGTTTATTTGATATTGTTGTGATCATTTGCACATTTCATGTTCTTAGTGAATGGTTGAGTGTTATCTCACTGTGAAATTGGTGATGCTGTGTTTTCAGTTTGTTATAGGCTATTTTCATCAGTTGCTGAGAGAAGATTTTGATTGATGAGCATATTGAATTGTTTATAATTTAGCAATAAGCAGTGTCAGTGTCAGTATTATAATCTTGCTTGTTGGCCACAGTCAAATGTTGAGATAACAGCTCTAACTCTCAAAAGAGAAAGGATATAACAATAGGAACTATAGGTAGGAACCATTGTTTAGTTCCGTGAGTCACACGGACTGTTATTGGGGAAACACCGTCTTGTAACCAGACCGAGCAAGATAGACCGTACATGCTACGTGGAAGTTTATTAAAGTTTACAACCCAGTGAGGTGAGACATGGAAGAGTGTGCTCGTGTTTGTGATTAAGTACCGCGTTATAACACCTTGCATCAAAGCGTATCACAGTATCGGATCAACAGGGGACATTACGACATTTGCAGGAACACATTCAAACATAAATCAAAGGTAGCGGATTCGTTGATCCGGACTATATCGTACGACTTATGACTGAACAAATCAAATAAACATCAAGTTTATATAAACACGCTGAATTAGTCTGCCCAGAAAACCAGTCTCTTACTGTCTGATGGGCTCGATCGACGTGGCGTCGGTCGGTGGTTGCTCATCAGCTTCTAGCTGACTGAGGAAGGTTGAGCTGCGCGTAGGGAAACTCGGTGGGCAAAGGCGATTTGGAACTTCTCGTTGGGAACAGAGGCGGCGGGGGGAATCAGAGAGCAGCTGTTTCTCCAGTCCTCCGGAGTGAGGCGGAGATAAAATCAAAAGCGAAAAGAAGCGGGGAAGGAGTGGAGCGAGAGTCTTGAGTTTGTCCAGCGAGATTAAGACTGAAACTTGGGAATTGGAGGGAAAAGAAAAGAAAGCAACCTTGTGTTGTCTCGATCTATTACTAACTGGGAAGTCAGGCGAAAGAGATCGATTCTTTGACGCAATCTTTTTTTATAAAGTTGAGGTCCATAAATAAATGTCACTGTCCTCGGCCAATGGGAGCTCTCTGTGTTCTTTCCTACATCCTCTTTTTATGACCAAGGGGGTCTGGACCCTCGCAGGGCTCCTGTTATCAGCGCCTGGCATCAGGCCACGGGGACCCCTATATGTTTGTGTTTTTCCTTTGTCCTCAGTGAAGAAAAACGTGGTGAGGTTTTTTAGCAGGGCGGAGGCCCAACAGCTTTATATTTAATATACAAACACGTGGTGGGCATCAATCTTCTCCAATAACTGCTGTAAAAAATGATCAAACTGATATTTTAAAAGCGCATTAAACGTCTTCTATCATTACGTTGACCTTTGTTGACCCTCCAGACCACAGTCAGCAAGCGTATCTCATAGCAATATCCTTTTGTATTTGCCAGTGCGCGTTGATGTAATTGAAGCGGCAAGGTCACTGTGATGCTTTTGTCGTTGATGTTAAGTTCCGAGTTTTCTCCCCCAGACGACCCTGCTGACGCTGCACACTGGGCAGAAGGGTTGTGTAAACTGAGATCCACATCGCCCAATACCACAAGGACGCATCCAGACTGAGAGACTTGATAACAGATTCTACCACGGCCAGAGAGATGGCAGGAAGGAAAATGTCCATAATGCTATTTGTGCTATTTGTGCTATTTAAGTGCTAGTACTACGATTTACCAAAAAAAGAACACATCCGCTGATTTACTGACTCAGTCTCAAAGTCTCTGGTAAATAATACTTTTTGGTGCTGGCAAACAGAAAACATGGGATGTACCAGAAGGATGATCAGGCTCAGCACCTCGAGCATCCGACTGACTTTGTCCTTTGATTTTTCCTTGAGCGCTAACATATGGTTGACGTTTGTCTTTTTGAGTGTATCTCAACAACTACTGGCTGGATTGCATTAAATTAGGTCAAGACAGTTATGATTCCCTCAAGACAAATATAAATAACTTGAATGGTGAATGTTTCATTTAGTATATTCATCTAGTTCCTAATTTTCTTAGTCACCAAAAACCTGAAACACCAATGAAATATTGAACAGCATCAGCTTTACTCTGGTCTGATACCTACAGAAACTTATGTTGGCTTTTCAACACACCAATCTAAGATGGAGAACATGGCAGATGTGATACAACATGTTGGCATCGTTATTATGAACAATTTAGCATTCTGTCTCCTTTTCCTCCACTACTTCTTTTCATGTAAATGGATGAATAGACACTCATCTGTTTATGGATTGACTACTTTATGGGCACATGGAGGGACAATCAGTGCTTGTTCATAGTAAATGTATCACACATTATTCCTAGGACACAGTGTGTGGCAGGCTCTACACCACAGGATGTGTGATGTAAATGGAAATTGGATCAACTGATAAGAGTGAGTAAATCAGGATGAACAGACTCTTTCTGATCCTTCCAGCCACACCTTTCCTGAATTGTCTCATCTCCCCCGAACCGCCACAAAGATGTGGGGCTGCTGTGGCGTGAGCTAAAGAGGTACATTTAACTGGGCCGAGATTCACAGAGACCATTTGTGGACTGGATAAGAAAATTATGGAGGTGCCCTTAATTATTAAACAAGCGTGTCAGCAGCCAGGCCTGATGGAGGTAATGCAAAGTGGAAGTGGTGCCATAGAGAGGCGATTGGGGGTGATGAAAGAGGCGGGTGGGCTTGGACCTATAAAGGTGGGGTAGTGTTTCGGCCCAAGGGCTTTGCTCATGCATTGGAGACCCAATAGTGCTGTCAAAGCGATTCTGCACATTGTTATTGAAGGCTCACTTTGTATAAGTCTGTTAGACGTGGACTACTGGGCATTTGAGGGTATGCACACATGCAGCCACAGAACATTTGCACGCAGGTGCGGGTTTAAAACACTCGTTCCTGGATTACAATGCACAGCTGACGGCCGTATATGATTGAAGGCATTAAGCTCGACAGGGGACTACTGCACTACTGACCGATTAGTCAATTAGTCCAACACGCTGATCAGCAGTTACCAAGACAACGGCTCAAGTCACAGTTTCAATTACATGTTTTATTTTTCCCCAAACGTGCAGTGAACTTCCACCAGGAAGTGTGCAAAATCTCTAAACTATAGTATATGTCTGGTAATACTCAATACTTTTGGTTGCAGCATGTAAGCACATCCATCAAAAGAATCCGGAATGATTCCATATTTCATCATGAAACGTGGTTGGTAGCATCAACCAATGTTCAAAGCTGAAAATAGTCCTTGAAATATTTTTATATTAAAACCTGTTTGAATATTGTCTGTTAAAAGGCCCTTAGCTTTGCAAGATTATTCCTTGTTTCATGAAGAAAGAGAGAGATGACTTTCAATTAGAACTCTTCATAGGTAATGTTATTAGTTGAAGCTTAGTTTTTTTTGGTGCCACTTGAATGTAGCAGAACAAACCGTAGACACAATACTGATATTGTGTTGTTGTCACAGCAACACAAACAACAGTTTGTGTTTGTGATTCTGGACATTCAGGCAAATGAACATCCAATATTCCCTCTCATTTCAGCTCTGTTTGGATCTTCACTCGCTCCAGATGGAAACATCTGTCTCCTCGGCCGATCCACTGTGTTCTCCATCTACTCGCTGACTCCGTCTTCTGTTTGGTGGCAAGCAGGTAGACTGTGAACAGCTGTCGGGGATGGTGTTGAGATCAGGGAGACTGAACCAACACAGCGTGTTTAAAGAAGTTTAAACCAAAAACAGAGAGCTGAACAACGCTACGTTGCTTGTGATCGGCGTGTCCGGTTGTAATTCTCTGTGGATTTGACTTTCATATCCCGTTAACCGGTGCAGCATTTAAAAAGAAAAATTACAAATGGTCATGGAGGACATGGAAGAACCTGAGCATTTAGACTTGTATCTTACCGTTGTATGTTTGATCTCTTGCGTTGTGTGTGCATACAGGTAAGTTGAAAATAGCAACGCAGAGAGAAAACTAACTGGTACGATGCTCTGTACTATTACGGTCCAGTGAAGCCTCACAGCAATCAGGAGAGAGAGAGTGTGTGTGTGTTTGTTCACAAGAAGAGTGGGACTGGCGCCAGCTCACCCCACCTTTACTGCTGTTGCCTGCAGAGTGAGCAGTGCTGCATTTCCTGAGGGCAATGCAGAGGACAAGCCAGAAGAAGGCTCACTTCTGTTAAGCTCACCGTGCAGCAAACCCAGGCTGCAAACCTGCTGTTTGCAGCCTGTTCTCGCGTGAATTAAACAAAACAGATCATTGTGATGTTGATGTTTCAAAATGTGTGATTATCCATTAGGAAAGTCATTGTTAGCTGCAAATAGCTTCATAATCCCACACTTAGCGGAGGCACACCGCCTCAGAGTCACGCTCTAATGTTTTAGGCATGCGTGCGAACGCCGGAAGAGTCCCAGAGTGGAGCGGAGCTCTTGGTGCCCCTGAGGTGAAACCACTCTGAGGCAATGACAGAGGTAAGCGGGCCTCCCCTGGGACCGGAGGATTAGTGTGTAACCATTACCTTTGCCCCGTGAATCACTGTGAATGGCTTCAGTGAAAGGGTACTGTAGCGCAGAGCTAGAGCACATTCAGATCACAGAACCTCAGATTCTGACAGAATGCACACTGCAGCATATTTCTGCAGGTGTTTTTTAGATTTGTGTGGCTTTTTGTGCAGATACACCGTTCACACCCCAACCTGACCCGAAATGAGGATACACCAGCAGATCCTTGAAAATTTATTGAAGTTAATGTAAGTTGAAATCATAAGTAACATAAGATAAAACAAACAAAATAACCCTTGCATAGATCACAGTCCATGCCTTTGTCATCATCTGACTGACTGAGCACATTGTAGCATAATCCTTGGTAAACACAACATGACAATGATGGCTGGATTCGATAACACAATCAGAGTTTGGTTTGCTTGAGGATGAAAAGAAGAGCGGAGAGAAAGAGTTCAGCAGTCCTTTTTGCGCTTTGCTCCAAAACTTACTCCACAAGCGATTAAATACATTCTCGACCGGAAAGACAAACCCATAGCCGTCGCACTTCTAACACAGACACAATCTTCTCATCTTAGCAAACAAGAATGCCTTGAAACCAATTTAGCACAGAGGAGTGTGTATGGCCCTGTGTAGATATGATGGGCATGTTTTACACCGTATCACTACAGTCTAGGAATGGGGCAAAATGTCACTCGAAAAATAGAGATAGAGTTTGAGAAACTAGCCCTTAATGTCCTCGCTCACATTCAGAGCCTGGGGAACGCAACTCCAGAAATCGCACGCCGGAGCTGAGCACGGCTCAGATACCCAACGCCGTCTCTGGTGAAGAGGTCAGCGCTAAGGTGCTTTTAAGAAATCCAGCAGGCGCTTCTTCCCAACTTCTAAACAGGGCCTTGCAGGAAGCCTTGGTGCAGATGACAGCAAGGGTTTCTTTTTTTAAATGAGGCAACCGTATTATAGTTGATCCACAGTTTGAAAGGCAAAACTCATGCAGTCTTCCATCGACCATGCAGTTTTTTTTGATTAGTAGGTTTCTGTAGATACATTTTGCAGCACGTTCAGCAGGGGAGATTGAAAAAAAATGCAAACATGGTGTTTCAATGAATCCTTTTTTCTTAAAACCAAAAAAAACTAGTTTGTTTCTAAAATAGTACACTTCTTGTCCATATAATTTTGTGTATAGCAATTGAATCTGTAGTTTCATATGATGGCTTGCCAAAGGAACATATTATCTTTGATATTCCCGTATATGGCATGTTCTGCCTAAATCAGTCACGTTAGTGTCACCCGAAAAATGGCGAAAATTAAAACACATTAAAATAGTTTTTCATACATAATTGCTGTATACAGTGGTTATTTTACCTGTTATTGTAGCTAAATTGCATTTTGTTTGTTTTCTTATTGTTTAGTAACGTTAATGTCGTAATCGTTTTTCTTCTCACTCATGTTTGTTTGCAGAAGCATTAACATCTAACAGTAAGTAATATTCAAAACAATTTAGATCCCTTCTCATACTTTCTCTCACGCATCTGTTGAGCACAGTGAACTGACGATAGATCTTCTCTTAGTGCATTATGGGTTGTTCCTTTGGGACTGTGTTCGTCTGAACCCTTCTGCAGGCTCATGACTGCAAAACAACTCCAGTCTGACCTGGGTGGTTAATGGGGACTGCCACTATTACGATGCCTATATTTGGAAATTTCAAGGTTTTCTTCCAATAAACTGTTTGACTCCACTGACTTTACAAAACCACAGGACGGAGGGAAATCGGTTGGTACATAAACAGCCCTGTTGTAAGTTATCCATCAAGTCAAGATCGCAGTTTCTCCCACATTGAAAATTTTCTCTGTGTGTGTGTGTGTGTGTGTGTGTTTTTTTTTTTTTACAAAAAGCATCTAAGAAACAGCTCGGTTCAGTGTCTGTTATTCTATTGTTGTTGAGAATGCATGTTTCTGTTGGCTAATTGAATGCATAGCACCTTTCACACATGCCCTCACAGCACTGCTCATGTGAGGGCATGTGTGAAATGCAATTTGTATTTTCTTCACCTCAGCTGTTCTCCGCAGGACAAGCATCACTTGTACAAGAAACTTTCGTGGAGCATTTCCAGCTGCATTAATAAGACTACTATAATTCCCTTGTATCTATAAAAGTAATATCATATATGGTATTGGGTGTTATTTGTGTCCTTCTGTATGAGAAAACCTATAGAAATTGAAACTTCCTGACATAAATGTGTATCTTTTTTTGCTATAATCAAAAGTGTCTGACATCTAGCAAGGCTGTTGAATGTTTCGCTTGCCTGAGGCAGACACTCTTCAGCAGTACAGTACAAAGATCAACCAAATAAAATGGCATTACGCAAAACCAACCAACCAGCCAACAATAACAAAAAAAGTCCAAGATAACATGTGGTGGTACCAAGACAACACTCCTAGTCCTGTACAAGCACCACAAACAATTGCCATCTCACAGATGTAGAAACAACTATATGACATTCAAGAAGCACTGTGGTGGCACTTTTTCGCATCTTTTTACAGGAATTTGTCAATTTGTCAATCATTTGGGTGCATTCATCTCAATAGTGAGCATAGATTAATGTACAGCAGCTGGAGATTTTCAAGTAGTCATTACAAGTTTTAGAAACCTATTTGCAGTTAGTCTGAAGCAATATGCTGAGAAGCAATGCACTATATATGAATAAGCAGAGTAAAAAACAAATAGTTCAAGCATCAAAAAACAAATGATTGTGCAAAAAGCCGGGCTGCACTTTTGCCGTGCATCATAATGCCCGAGGATTGCAGGGTGACAGATTAAAAAACAACAAACTCTTCCACTGTCTTATTCTCGTGTCTGTTGGAACACATTTAGGAGACACAACAGTACCTTTAAATACCATAGTTTTCAAATAAACCAAATATAAAACAGCCAATCCCATCTCAATAGGAGAGTCAAGCATCTCTACAAAGCCTCTACATATGAATGTTCTGATTGTGCGTAGCTTTAAGTGAACTGAAGGAGCAGGATTCTGGTACACTATTTGTCCTAAGTGCTTGTGTCAAGGCTATGCTTTGGGACTCTCACATTCAATGTTGCGTGTCTGCAGTTTACACTTAAGGTTCCATTTTGCATTATGGTTATAGGAAGCCCTGCATTGAAGCTTGTAGCTCTGCAGCAAGTTTGCAATGACCTCACTGAGGTAGAGACCCTGAAAGGATGCATGGTGCACAAACAAAAAGCTAAGACATAAATTAAATCTCTTTAAAACTTTTGGATATTCCATTTTAAATTGAATTGGTAAACATGCAGAGTACAATACATGTTCCTCACGTTGAGAAACAGGTTACTTTTCTCATGCTATGATCTCAATTATGTACTGTTCCCTTAAGATTTAACATTCAATTTCTATACTTTTAAATATTTAGCATTTCAAATTAAAAACTCACCCAGTGCACTTGAATGAAAACAGATGAGAGGGGAGGAAGGGGTGGAGGCAGGTATTCAAAATAACATCCTTTCCATTATGTGAGATATGTCTCGTGCATGCCAATATTAAAATGGAAAGTCTCTAATCATGCTCATGTGAAGCTCACTTTAACATTGTGCTGTGTTGCGTCTAAAGGGCATGGCATTGAATCACTTGGTGATTTCACAATTACAGCATCTGCTGGGAAACAGCAGCATCGCGGATGTCCGTGAAGCGAGTAGATCAGCGTGTGTTTACATCCAAACCAGAGAGATCAGACTTCCTCCTATAAGGTGCTTTGCTGAATAGTAGATATCCTTAGTAGGGAGAGAGGAGGGAGCAGAGGGGTGTTGGGGGGGGGGGGGGGGGGGGCAGGGTGGGGGTCACCTAACTTCTTACCACTGGGCTGCAGGTGCTTGCATGTCTCTGCAGATTAAGATTTGAATCATCACTCCATCGTCTGATGAGACAGTGTTTGCTATGCGTCCTCCGGGGAGCTGTGTGTAAGCGGAATAGTTGATTCTTTTTTTTTGATGTAATTATATGTTTGTAGGATCCGAAGAATTAATTATTCTATCTACTTGTCACATACTCTGAGAGCTTTGTTTGAATTTTTCTGATTTCTTTCCATGTAGCGGAGCATAGTTGTAGGCCTAATGCCATCGGGCCCTTTGGGGAGGTAAATGAAGCATTCCTAACTGATGGTCTACTCCACATATGACAGTCCCATAGAGATCCCAAAGTTCCTAACTAGTGTCTAAACATCTGTAAGCAGCTTGCTTTTATTTACACAGTTTTGGTTGGCTATAGTGCAATTGCTAGTTCTGAGGTTCGCCTCCCTAAAGTTGTCGATGCTATTGTTTATGTCTCCATCAATCTCCATGTACTCTGACTTGCTGACGGTGGATGAACTGCGGCGGCTGGAGTTGGTTTCAGAGGGGATGTTGGGATTGCTGACATTGAGCAGCTGGGCCTGCTCTTCTCCTTCGGTCTCCCTGTGGTAGAAGTAGTTGAAGTTGGACACAATGACGGGCACCGGGAGCGCAATCGTCAACACTCCGGCGATGGCGCACAGAGATCCTACAATCTTGCCTCCTATAGTGACCGGGACCATGTCCCCATAGCCCACAGTTGTCATGGACACAACAGCCCACCAAAATGCATCTGGGATGCTGCCAAAGTAGGATCCTTGCTCCTCTGCCTCAGCAAAGTAGACAGCGCTGGAGAACAAGATGACCCCAATGAACAGAAAGAAGATCAGCAGACCCAGCTCTCGCATGCTGGCCTTGAGGGTCTGTCCCAAAATCTGCAGCCCTTTGGAGTGTCGCGACAGCTTGAAGATCCTGAACACCCTGACCAGACGGATCACCCTGAGTATGGCCAGAGATGTTGCCTGCTCCCCCATTCCTTCTTTTCTGGGTCTTCGGCTAGCTCGGTGCCGAGCGTGATGAAGTATGGGATGATGGCCACTATGTCGATCATGTTCATCATGTTCTTGAAGAAGGCCGGTTTGCTCGGGCACGCCAGAAAGCGTACAATCAACTCAAAGGAGAACCAGATTATACAGAGTGTCTCAACGACGAAGAAGGGGTCAGTTAGGATATTTGGTTTATAATAAACAGTAGTGTTCCCAACTGTTATCATTCGACCCCGTGGGTCCTCTTTCAGCTGTGGTAAAGTCTCTAAACAAAATATGACTATTGAAATGAGGATCACCATCACAGACACAATGGCGATCCCTCTCGCTGTGCCTGAGCTCTCCGGGTGCTCAAAGAGGAGCCAAATCTGGCGCTGGAACTCCTTCTCAGGCAAAGGGCGCTCTTCCTCCCTGATGAAACCCTCGTCCTCCCGAAACTTCTCCATCGCATCCACCCCCAGCTCGTAAAATTTGATTTCTTCTGAGAACATATCCAAGGGGACATTCACTGGTCTTCTTAGCCGGCCCCCAGACTGGTAGTAATAGAGGATGGCATCGAAGCTGGGCCGGTTTCTGTCAAAGAAGTACTCGTTTCTCAGAGGGTCAAAGTACCGCATCCGCTTTTTGGGGTTGCCCAGCAACGTCTCTGGGAACTGGGAGAGAGTTTTCAGCTGTGTCTCAAACCGGAGGCCAGCAATGTTGATGACCACCCTCTCGCAGCATTCGTGGTCATTGGGGTCTGGGGGGTAGGCGTCCTGAGGGTGGCCGGGGACAGCCGAGGTCTCGTCCATGTTATCTCCTGCCACCACGGTCATTTTTGGGAGGAGGGAGAGGCGGAAGGGAAAAGAGCAGGATGAGATGAGTCGGGTTTCCCAGTTAGTCTGACTGAGCAGGCATTCAGGTTCAGGACAAATTTTCCACTCCTCAGCTTCCCACACCCCTTAATTTGTCAGAGACGTCCCTCAGATACGGGAGGGGGGCGGTTGGCTGCTTTGCCTCAGTGCGGCTCCACTGCGTTTCTCACTGACTTGACCATTGCTGCTCTCCAAAGCATCTGCTGCTGTTGTTACTGCTGCCTCTGTCACCCAGAGAGAGAGGGAGGGAGAGAGAGAGAGAGAGAGAGAGAGAGAGAGAGAGAGAGAGGGAGGAAATAATGGAATCAAACAGCCCCATTTCCCGGCTCAGCAATTTTTGCCGTTCATATATTTCTTTACTTTGCTCAACCATTAGTGCAATTACAATAGTGACTGTGACTTCTTATATAATAAAGACATGTATTATATATATATATATATATATATATATATATATATATATATGTACATAGTAATTTTGACTATGTTATAATCTACTTGCACCACATGGCATTTATTACATTCCTGAGTGATTAAACTGTTTCTCTGATTCACTCATATTGTATTCCTGAACTTTAGTTTAAATGATAAATATTGTATTTCTACGTCTCAGAGGCACATGCCTGTGGTTTACCCTACGCCCCTCAAAACAGCCTGAACTATGATGTGACGCATAACATCTGCTACAACTGATGTTTACATGCATACAGTGAATGGCCTATACTGAGGGACAAAAATGACAGAAATACACCCAGGAGATAGAAAAATAATGCAGTCACTGTTTGTTATCTTCACATTAACTGCAGCTGTCGATTACAAAATGTTCTGACCGACATCATTATTGTATAAGTCAGCAGTTTCGGGGCTCACCTTGGGCTGATCTTGAATCGTCTTGAATGCGTCCTTTCCTCGAGTAAAAGCATCCAACAGCAGCGCAGCCGTGGGTCTCATGTGGTTAACTTCACATTGCACCTATACTTTTATAAAAATAAAAAAACTTACTCTACTCATTGCCAACCTAACTGTCTCCTCAACAAAGTGCCCTCAGATTCCTGTAGACGGGTGAAGCAAGATGAGATCTAACAAGATGAAAATCAAGGGAACCTGGAGAGGAAAGCCGGAGGTAAAAAGGAGAGAAAAGAGAGAAACGCAAAGCTGCAGCGTCGGTGGCTGCGCGACGGCACGTGGTGTGAACAGCTTTCGGTGTACCGCAGGAGAAAAATCTTGCACAGCAATTCAGAAGGGGAGACACGTTAAGGGGCACTAAGCGAGCGTTTGACATTTCCAGACATCACTGCATCAGCAGAAATCTGCTGTTTTTTGCGATCGGACCAGATGAGATCCAGGACGCATTTCCGCGCGGCTCGGCGGGCCGAATAAAATACATCAAAACGGACAGTTTGAGGGACAGTCAGGTGCAGCATTGAGGTCCAAATGTTTTCTCCACAATATCACGCAAGTTTTGCTGAGCATTCCAAGTGCAAGGGAGGGGAGGGAAATGAGAGGGAAGGGGAGGGAGGCGTCAGGAGAAGGAAGAGGGGGAGGAGGAGTTGGAGGGTTTCGACGCAATGCAGACCGGCTCTACTAAAGCACACCGCCAGAAGTTCTCCACACACCACAAAAAACAAGAGCCCTTGTGCGACCGTTCTGGCTCAATAAGACTACAACGAAGGGCAGTACAAGACCTCTAAATCCACGTTGGCTCGTTTGTTTAATGAAACGGCTTAAATTGGTGAGAGATTAAATCACCTTTTTTATTCCTTCACTCCAGTTTGTGATTTACTTGGGCGTCTGCTGGATTCGTCGATATCTGATTCTATGGAATCATTTTCATGTTTGTCAGTAATGAGGATGTCAATATTGTCTACGGTGCTCATGAAACATAAGATCAGGCGAGGTTGCACCCACTGTCTGTTGTGTCCGTGTGACAGTTAATAGTATTCTGGGGTCAAAAAACACATTCAAAGCAAAATTGGGTCATCATACCTTTCAGACTGTGTAATGTGTTATAATAAATTCCAGACAAATAAATCCCTCTATATGCATGTATAAATCCCCTAACCATTTAACTTAAACTGTCATTGTGAAACATGTATCACAATGACAGTTTTTGTGGTTTTGTGGCAAGGCAAAACAACGTACTAATTAATAGGAATATATTTGTATTGTATTAACCCACAAATTACTTTGCTGTTTGCCTTCTGATCTGTGAAGTGAAACATAAAAAGTGGTATATTTTCTGATTCTTAATGTATTTATAAAACGATTACGTTAAGTTAACATACATGTTTAAATTACAAAAATAATTAAAGCTGCGAGCAGCGCAGTGTTAATTTTGGCAGCTATTTTTGATTTAAAAATGCATATTAGTTTTAGTCACATTTAGTCATTTTAATCCTTCTTAGTTTTAGTCTAGTTTTGGTCGACTAAAACTAGACTAAAACAATTACATTTTAGTCTAGTTTTAATAGCCATATTAAACTCCTTTTCTTCCCTTCTCAGGCCCAGGGACCCCCTGTGTTGTGTCTACAGCTGCATAATAGTCTAGCTTGCAGTACTTGGTTGTCCATTAGATGTCCCTCATAGGACAGGTCTATAGCAGCAGTCGGCAAACTTTTTGACTCGCGGGCCACAATGGGTTGTAAAATGTGACGGAGGAGCCGAGCCAAGAACAAAGGGTTGAAGTGTTTGTGTGAGCGACTATAAATGACATGTGAAAAATCATTACATGAAAGGATTTGGATTTTAACAACAAATTGGCAAAGGTGTAACAACTTCATGAGGACCAGGGATCTAAACGCAACACTTTGTTGTCTTTGTCTGTTTACTTGCAATGCTTTTGAAACTTCATGGTCCTTTATTGTTTCCACTGTTCCAACAAAAGAGACCGTAACGTCCTACAATCGGTGCAATATATTATTTTCTTGGCTTCAGAACCTGCAATGACTTTATTATGTTAGACGTGTTTGTAACGGAGCGTCTCATCCAGCGAGGAATCGCTGCCTGCCGTCGCCAGAGAACAGAGCAGAAAGGTCCGACAGTCTGTTAAACGGGTCTTCATGTTTCTGTGAAGCAGCGCGGCTTCAGCCCGCTAACAGGCAGCTAAACCGTGACAGCTGAGCTAAACTAACGAAGCCGCATTCAAACTCGCCGAAGCGTAAAATAGTCGTTGCGGTCCGTAGTCGGTGCACAAGAACCACAGTTGTCAGTTGTCGTTAACCGCGTGGAGCGATGCGAAATGTCATAGATCACCAAACCTTCCCTTAAATCTCATTCACCAGCCTTATAATCAATTTCAGATGGTATTTAATATGATGATAATTCCACTTCAGGTTCATTGTACACATCCCCAAGGCCTCACCCAGGGATAAGCAGGACATTCTGATTTACTATTCCAAAATTAAAGCCTCTCAAAATACCATACACGGGCAGATTTCCTTAATTCTCCATCACGAGACTACTTTTGGTCAATTTCAGGTCAGAATTAAAAGGAAACTATCAATAGTTACATGATGATTTCACTTCAGACTAATAGTAGGCCTATACATCCCCAAGGCCTCACCCAGGGATAAGCAGGACATTCTGATGTACTATTCCAAATTTAAAGCCTCCCAAAATACCATACATGAGCCAAAATATCATTCACAAGACTACATCTGGTCATTTTCAGATTACATTGAAAAGGAAAAAATCAATAGTTACACAATGTTTCCTCTTCAGGCATAGAGTATTGTTGTGTTCAAAAATGAAGAAACGCCGGACGGACAGAGGTCATCGCTGATCAAAAGGTTAAAATCAAATGTTTTTAATAAAAGTAATGGTGTTGTGGTAAAAAGAACATCTCAGCTGAGGAGCCGCTGGTCTCAGCAACCAACAGGCCCCAGGTCAGTCCTTTTGACCATCCCTAGTGCCCGTCTGTAGCCTCCACCAGCGAACCCGAGAACAATGGTTGCTACAGGTATTTATAACAATGCTTAAAGGTGTGAAAGTCAGTGTCCACACCTCTGGGAGTGGTCTTCTGGTGAGTTCAATGTAACTCGGATTTCAAATGGCCCTTAGTCAATATCAGTTGTGGTGCAAGTATTACATGCATGCATTCCAGTTAATTACATTACATCAAATACAATCATACCTGTACATTGGTATTATTCTAGTACAGTTGCAGAATTACAGTGGTTTTACAATATTGTCATTACTTTATTGATTACACAGTTCCAGAATCATGGCTGTATTCTGGTGTACACTATATGCATTTTTATTAATTTTATGAACCGGATCGTCAATTTGTTTCTGATATCCTACAATCCATCCCTTTACACCAATTTTGGTGTAAAAAACAGGGATCGGTTCATCAAATTCTTCTGTTTTGTCAGATGTGTCGTCTCTATTTGTTTAGCATAACGTTCGATCCAATATGACACGCTTGATCCTACACATTCTAAACATAAGATGTGCATCTGGACACCACTTGTTAACTTGTACCTGGCACAGAACAAAAACTCGAAAACCCTTTTTGGGAATAAAACGAGGAAGAAATCTGTCGGAGAGATTGAAAGATCTTCTCCCAGGATTTAACATTTCATCACAGATGTCATGTGTACAGTATAAATTGACCCAAACCTTATGGCATCACGGGGCTGGTCTTCACTGATGATTCTAATGATAAGAGTCCTGATGCAGAGGATGCAACAGCATAGATAGATACTTTATTGATTCCTCAAGAGGGACATTTTGGTATCACAGCAGCATGTACAGGGAAGAAAATAGAATAAAAAGATACACATTATATACAATATAATAAGAGAAATATTAAATTATTAAATTAAATCAAATTAAATAAACTGAAACAAAAGAATAACCTTCCAAAAGAGACAATAATAATAATTTGTAAAAGGAGAAGAGGAAGAGGAAAGAACAGCAACATAACAGCAGTACAGGGTTATTATTGTCATTATTTAGCCAGGGATGATTTATTGTAGAGTGTTATTGCACTGGGCAGGAATGATCTCCTGTATCGGTCCTTGTGACAGCGGAGCTGAAGGAGTCTGTTGGAGAACGTGCTCCGCTGTCCCTGTAGCAGGTGGTGGAGGGGGTGGTCAGGATTATCCAATATGGATAACAGTTTCTTCAATGACCTCCCCTCCAACACCTTTTCGAAGCTGTCCTGTTTGCAGCCAATGATGGAGCCGGCCTTCTTAACAAGTTTGTTAAGTCTGTTGGTGTCACCGGCTTCAAGGCTGCTCCCCCAGCAGACCACGGCGAAGTACAAAGCACTGGCCACAACAGACTGATAGAACATCTCCAAGATCTTGCTGCACACATGGAAGGATCGAAGCTTCCTCAGGAAAAAGAGTCGACTCATCGCCTTCCTGTAGACGGCGTTGATGTTGGTCTTCCAGTTCAGTCTGTTGTCAATGGAGACACCCAGGTACTTGTAGTCCTCGACCATGGCCACCTCCTCTCCCAGAACCCTCAGCGGTAGCGGAGCCGTCGTCTTCCTCCCGAAGTCGACCACCATCTCTCTGGTCTTGGCCACGTTCAGGAGCAGGTGATTTCTGCCCGCCCACACCACAAAGTCCTCCACTACTGCCCTGTACTCCTCCCCCCGTCCATCCCTTATACACCCTACCACTGCAGAGTCATCAGAGAATTTCTGCAGATGGCAGGACTCCGAGTTGTACTAAAAGTCAGTGGTATATAAGGTGAACAGGAAGGGACACAGAACAGTTCTCTGTGGAGCTCCAGCACCACTGACAACAATCAGACAGCACGCTGCCCAGTCGGACAAACTGTGGCCTGCCTGTCAGGTAGTCAGTGATCCAGGAGACGGTGGACGAGTCCAACCCCACCACCGCAGCTTCTCACTCAGCAGCAGTGGTTGGATGGTGTTGAAGGCACTGGAGAAATCAAAGAAAGTTATTCTCACAGAGCCACCCTTTCCATCCAGGTGCGACTGGGCTCGTTGCAGCAGGTAGATGATGGCGTCATCCACTCCCACACGAGGCTGGTATGCAAACTGCAGCGGGTCAAGTGAAGATTTCACCTGCGGCCTGAGGCGGGCCAAGACCAGCCTCTCCAGCACCTTCATCACATGGGATGTGAGGGCGACCGGTCGATAGTCATTAAGGCCAGATGGAGTCGTCTTCTTGGGGACCGGAACCAGGCACGACGTCTTCCACAGCACCGGGACCTTCTGTTGCTTCAGGCTCAGGTTGAAGAGGGGTTGAAGGACCTCAGCCAGCTGGAAAGCACAGGTCTTCAGGACCCTGGGGCTGATGCCATCAGGTCCTGCAGCCTTGCGTTGGTGAAGTCTCCTCAACTGTCTTCGAACCTGGTCAGTCGTCACCGAGAGGGGGGGGGGGGGGTCACGGCGTCAGTTGGGGAAGGGCCCCTTGAAGTGGCC